CTGCACAACATAGCAAATATATTGAAAAACATCTGAATTATTTAAATGGTGAATTTCACGTTATATAAATCATATCTCAACTTAAATTTTTAATCACCTGTGGTTTGAGTCATCTAACTTTTCAAAGTTTTTCAGTTTCCTTGTCTGTGAAATTTGGATTGTGGAGTAGAGGTCAGTCTAAACAAATAGCAGCTATTCCAGGAGAATCCTTACAGCAAAGCTCATAGGCCAGGAATGGAGGGATCAGTCTTTCCTGGTCATTCCTCCCTCACCCTGAGCCCACTTGCAGTCATGGGGCTGGGAGTGCTAGAGATAAATTAAACTTGCTGGTTGATCAGGAAATTGAGGACTTGACAGGTGGCGGGGCTTTGTCAAAGTCACAGAGTGCTTCAGTGGGATTGCTGGGATGTAGACCCTATATTCCTCTTCATAGCAGTACAAGCTCTTTTCTAACCCAGATTACACAAAACAGATTTCCTTGTGTTATCAGTTGCTTCTGTTTCCGATGAAAGAAATTTCAGACATCCAGTGTTTTCCCTGACATCTAAAATCAGAACGATTTCATAGGTATTTTAAGAGGTAACCCATTGAAAACACCAGCTTATTCATACCCTCTGTCTTGATCTGCTTTGTGTTTGTATGGTAAGACACCTGAATCTGGGTAATTTGTAAAGAAAAAAAGTTTATTTAGTTCACTTTTTATTTTTTTGCAGTACTGGGATTTGAACTCATGACCTCATGCTTGCTAGGCAGGCACTGTACCACCTGCATCATGCCCGCAGCCTTTAGTTCACATTTCTGAAAATCTAAGAGTCTGGTACTGGTCTCCTTGGTTCTGGTGAGGGCTCATGTTGGATTGCATACATAGGCAAGGCACAGGCAAGAGTGGTAAGTAGAATATGCAGAAGAGGAATTCAGAGCTAGGTGCCAGTGGCTCACGGCTATAATCCTAGCTACTCAGGAGGCAGAGATCAGGAGGATCTCAGTTAGAAGCCAGCCCGTGATAGTTTGAGAGACCCTATCTTGAAAAACGCATCAAGGGCTGGTGGAGTGGCTCAAGATATAGACCCTGAATACTGAAAAACCCCAGTACTGAAAAAAAAAGAGGGATTCAGGGTAGCTGCCAGGCTTGCTTATAATAACCCATTCTTACAGAAACTCTGCAGTGCCCAAGACCTGTTCTCTAGACATATCCATTCAGGAGGGTGGAGCCCCATGATCTGATTACCTTCCACGAAGCCCCACCTCTTACAGGTTCTGCCACCTTAACCCCACCATGCCGAAGACCAAGCTTTTCACTAGTCTTGCCCTCCTCATCATGGTATTGAAAAGTGAGGTAAAAGTGGACCATCTTCTGAAACAGTTGCTTATATTCATCTTAGAACTAAGCACATTGGACATCCTATGGGAAAAGACTTGGGCTGAGCTCTTCAGGAAATATTTTAGAATAAGCTAGGCCCAGAGGCATGTGTCCATAGTCCCAGCTTACTTGGGAAGTTGAGGCAGGAGAATCACTAGTTAGAGTTAGAGATCAATCTGGGCAACACAGTGAGACCCCATTTCAAAATAAAACAAAACAAAAGGGAATAGAATGGGTAAAATTTTACTCTCTACTCTAGGAACTTGACTTTGGTGAAAGCATGGATGTGTAGAAATAACACAAACTAGAATATAGTTTGAAAGGAAAGAAACCAATAGTTTGGCGGTTCCAAGTAGAAAGAGGAGTTTATTTGGGGCATGAAAGAAGAGTCCATGGAGGTAATGCCATGGCTTGGCCATGGGTGGAAGGCCCTGCAAGAAAAGAGATGCAAAACCCAAAAAAGAATAAAACAAACTGGCGTGGAGCTTCCAACATGTGTAGGGAAATTATAGAAAACAAAGTGAAAAAGTGCTGGGGCCCAATTCTGGAGATATATTGATTTTTTAAAAAATTGCTTAATTTCATAAGCAGCAGGCAAGTGTTGAAGGATGGGGACAGGCACTCTCATACATGCTGACACAGCCTGGGGACAGAATTATATCATTTGTTAAACCCCGAGATAGCTGCAAGCTCCTCAGGCCAGGGATTTTACTTGAAGGTACTTTCACTAAGAAATATGAAGATATTAATTATAAAATTATTTATAATACTAGAAATTTAGAAACAACCTAAATAACTATGGGACCAGTGTTCTCAATTGGAGTGGTTTTGCCTCCCAGGGGACATTTGGAAACATCTGCAAATACTTTTACTTGTCACAACTTGAGGGGGTGCTTCTGGTATCTGGTGGGTGGGAGTCAAAGAAAGCATTCTAGGTTCTCAGGACAGCCTCCCACAACAAAGAGTTGCTGGGTCCACAATGTCAAGAGTGCCAACGTTGACACTATGTGCAGGTGGCACCATGGTATTATGGCAGCTCCGTGCAGAGGAAGGCTGCGCAGTCAATGAATGAGAGACGCCACTGAAGGTGTTCATGATCTTTTGTAAAGTGGGTAAAAGCATGTTACAGTCTGCTGTTCATATGTATTCTCAACAAAACTTAAATACGCGAAAGAAATTAATCATGGGACAATGTCTAATTTTGATTTTCTCCTTTGTGTCTTCTTGTATTACCGAAATTTTATTCAAGAGCATATGAACTCAAGCCAGGCACCAGTGTCTCAACTTCTGTAATCCTAGCTACTTGGAAGACTGAAATCAGGAGGATATCGGTTCAAGGCCAGTGAGGGCAAAAAAAAATTGTGAGACCCCCATCTCAACAGGAAAAAGATGAGTGTGATGTTGCTTGCTTGTCATCCCAGGGGAGGTTCACTGTTCAGACTGCCCTGTGCAAAAAGTGAGACCCTATCTCAAATAATCAGAGCAAAGAGGACTGGAGGTGTGGTTCAAGCTGTGGAGCACCTACTTGCAAGCACAATGCCCTGAGTTCAAATCCCAGTACCACAAAAAAATAAAATAAAATGTGAGTTCTGAATCTCAAGGATGTGCCCGGCAGCATTGCAAAGCCTAGGAAACGAACCCTGACAGGTCCTTGCCTTATGAAGTTCACTGTATCAAGGGGAAGACAGACAACAGGACAAGGGAACAAAAAACAAATGAGATAATTTCTGATAGAATAAATGTAATAGGAATAAATAGATAGGATAAAAATAGTGCCTCCCAGGCAGGCAATGGAGGGATAGTTGGGGCTTAAGATAAGCAGAGATGACTGGCACTGCTGAAACCTGGTTGGGAAAGAGCTTTTGTTCAGAGTGCTCTAGTTACTTGTGGGTGGAGTGCTTTGATAAGTTCAGGTTGCTGTGTGGGCTGCCAGACCAAGGAACACACTTTATTTTCTTTTTTCGTTTCTCTTTTTTGGTACAGTGGAAAAATAAATGGTGGTTTATTCATCCAGGAGAATACTAAAGCAACAAGAATGAGTAAAGTATCAACTACACAAAACAGTGTAGATGAATGCCACAAACAGTACTGCATTCAAAGTCTCACAGACTAATCTGCAGTGTTAGAGGTCATAACACTTTCCACTGGCCAGGGGGACACCTTTGTACACAGTGCTGCTGCGTGCGTGCCCCAAGAATTTATTACACTTCACTGCAAAGGAAGTAGTCCACTTTCCAATAAAGTTCCTTTACAAAGTTCGAAGGTCCAGCACCCCACTGTGTTGACAAGAAGAGATGCCAGTGTTTCCAACATAGGAATGTCATCAAGGTTAAAGTCAGGTTCCTCCAGAAAGAAAAGTGCTCCTCCTGGTGTGCAGGAGGGGCCTGTCAATGAGGATTCTGGTATTTTGAGGTTCGTTGGTGTTGATAGTCTATGGACCATTGTGTGTGTTTCTGACAGACACCACAAGAGGGTCCGGGCTAGAGCCAGAAGCAGCATATTAAAGTGCCAAGACAAAGATCAAGAGCGTTGAAAGGAAACAGATCTGAAAGCTATGTGAAGAGCAACGTGTTAACTCCAGGTTACCTCTGGGCGGCAGGATTGTGAGTGACTTTAATTGCCTGTCGTGTATCATTTTCAACAGAGAACACATGTTACTTTTGTAATAAAAGAAGAACTATGGGGCGTGTTGTTTTTATAAGGACCCTTAGAATGCTAAAATTAGAGAGTTATGGAAATCTAAAGCTGAGAAAGAGTCTGAGATCAGGGTCAAGAGGTGCCAGACCCACAGAATACACAAGGGAAGGAGACTTTGAGGAAGGGAAAAAGAGTGGGGTAAGGGCCGAGTATGGTAGCTCAAGCTGTAATCCTAGCTACTCTGTAAGCAGAGATCAGGAGAAAGCCAGCCTGGACAAAAAGTTCATGAGGCTCCATCTCAACCAATGAGTAGCACAGTGGTGTGAGCCCATCATCCCAGCTATGTATGGAAGAAAAAACAGGAGGATCACGGTCCAGGCCCTCCTGGGCATAAAGCAAGACCCTATCTCAGAAATTACCAACACAACCAGGTGCTGGTGGCTCATGCCTGTAATCCTGGCTACTCAGGAAGCAGAGAGCATTTGGATCATGGTTCAAATCAGCCTGGAAAAAGTTCGAGAGACCCTATCTAGATAAAACCAATCACAAAAATGGGCTGGTCGAGTGGCTCAAGGTAGAGGCCCTCAGTACAAATTACCAGAACAAAAAGAGCTGGAAGAGTCACTCAAGTGATAGAGTGCCTGCCTAGCAAGTGCAAGGCACAGAGTTCAACCCCCAGAACTGGAAAAAAAAAAAAAAAGAGTAGGGTAGGGGTGGCTGGCAGTCATCTCTCATCTCTCAGCTCCAGCCATTCCCGACAAGCCATGGAGGAATGTGAACAGAGTTGTTAGAGCTTCTGATTCAACAAGTCAAGTAAATCTCCTAGCTGGTGTTAGGCTTCTGTATCAGAAGTTTGAGGAACTGCCATAGAAATCAGAGAGAAGCCAGCTGCGGACAGTCAGTTGTCCTGTGCTACCTGTCATCTGTTGCATCCTCTGTTTGAGGGGTGTTAAGTCCATTGCCTGCTCTGTGCAGAGGTCTCTTCTCAGCTCTCAACTACCAAGGTGAAAATGGAGCATCACATTCTCTGAGGTGGGGCTCAGCAGCATATGGAACACACTGATCCTCATAATCCTTGTTCTCAGGAAATAGTAATGACTTAATCCCCCAGCTTGTTCCTGCTCCTATGTGGCCTCTCAGTGAGATTTACAGACAAGACCCAGAGAAGTGGCGATCGGAGTGGGAGACATTCTGACTCAACAGTCTCAGCCCCTCCACGGAAGCAGCCAGTGGGACTCCCAGCCATGGGTGAGGTGACAGCAGAGGAGGTGGAGAAGTTCTTGGACTCAAATATTGGCTTTGCCAAACAGTACTACAATCTCCGCTACCGGGCCAAGGTCATCTCAGACCTCCTGGGGGCCAAGGAGGCAGCAGTGGACTTCAGCAACTACCACTCACTGAGCAGCGTGGAGGAGAGTGAAATCATCTTTGATCTCCTGCGGGGCTTCCAGGAGAATTTACAGGCTGAGAAGTGCACCTTCAACGTCATGAAGAAACTGTGCTTCCTCCTGCGGGCAGACCGCATGAGTCTGTTCATGTACAGGACCCGCAATGGCACCGCAGAGCTAGCCACCCGGCTCTTCAATGTCCACAAGGATGCTGTCCTTGAGGAATGCCTGGTGATGCCTGACTCAGAGATTGTCTTCCCCCTGGACCTAGGCGTCGTGGGCCATGTTGCACACTCTAAAAAGATCGCCAATGTTCTCAACACAGAAGAGGTGTGCTTCCCCCATAAGTCCAGGGGCAGTGAGGCTCTATCTCCTAGGGTCCTGGGGTGCAAGTGGACTGGGGCATCTGGCCACCAAGACAAGGCTGGTAACAACAATGCCACTTCTCTTTATTTACTTATAATTTTTTATTTTGAAAAAAATTCAAAACTAGCAGGAGGTTAAAACAATACAAAGAACTGTATCTCTTTCATTCAAATTCACCAATAATTAATATCTTGCCACATCTTCCTTCTTTCTCCATTTTTATGACCCATTTGAGAGAAAGTTGCAGCCATCATGACATTCTGTTCCTCAGTACTTCACTCTATATCTAGACCAGGACATTTCTTACATATTCCTAGTTCAATGATCCAATTGAGGAAGTGTAACATTGATACAATGCCATTGTCTAACAGTTGGTGTTCAATGTTTGCCAACTGTCTCTACTACCTATGTAGCCCACTCTCTTTTAGCCTGCTTGAATCTGAAATAACTCCTCAGCCCATCTTTGTTTTCTGTGAGGTTGATGTATTAGAAAGGTACAGACCAAATGTTTTGCAGAAAGGTCCCTCCATTCAGCTTGTCTGGAGTTTCTTCACAGTTAGATTCAGGTTGTGTGTTCCTGGCAGGAATATCACTGAGAGGACATTGTTTTTCTTCAAGGTTTACTTCAGGAGTTGTGATGGCTAATTGTCCCATTATTGGAAATGTTAACACATTAAACACTTGGCTCTTCTAAGAATCCAACAGTCTGTAGGATTCTCCTGGCAGTTCTGACAAAGACCTCTTTGCTCACCATGGGCAAATCACTTCCTCCTTTTTGGACATTAAAAACTATAATGAAGTTCTCCACATAGTCCTCTGTCCAGGGCCAACCTCTACTCATCCTTCAGATCTTAGCTTAAAAGTTATATCCTCAGGGAGGCCTTCTGTTAAAGTCCCCTTCCTGAAATTATTGATCAAGACGAGCAGTGGAGCCAGGAACCATTCACAGGCATTTATCTCAGGATCTAGCACTATGTCTGGCACAATCAGGAGGTCAGTAAACACAGCATAAAAAGCTCACAGTTATGTAATTTTGTAATAATTTCCTTTAACCCAGCTCTCACTCAGAAGAATGTTTGCCCCATAACAGTAGGGCCCACGTGGGTCTTCTTTATTGCTGCACTGCCCAAACCAGTGGCCTGTGTTCAATCATTTCCAAGGTCTGTTCTCTGGACATTTTGTGACTTTGTCGTCACCCTGCCTCTGACTTATTGCAGATTAAGGATCTTAAGGAAAAAAAGTGAGGAGTGAGGGGCCTTCAGAGCTCATCTTATCCAACTTCCTTATTTAGTAGTTAAGGGAACTGGATCCAGGAGAAGTTGAGAAGGGGCTTGCCCATGGTCGCCAGAGAGTTAGGGCAAGCTAGGACTTCATCAAGCCTAGACTCGGGCATCTGTGGGAAATAAGTTAGATGGACTCCCCCATGGGGTTAATCTCTTTCTGCATCTCCTTTTGGCAGCCAGGGTTGGGGGCAGTGGTCTGCACTCTAGGCTGTTGGGAGGACTCATCCAACTGGTCGGGAGTCTGTTCAATTCTCTCCAGACTTTAATTGCAGCCAACATGGATTGGTTTACACATTTTACCTTCATAACAGTCTCATGTCATAATTATTATCTTTGTCTTGCAGATGATGAAACTAAAACCCACAAAGGTTAAATAACTTGCTCAGGGTCATACAGATAGAAAGTGGCAGAGAATTTAAACCCAGGACTCAGCCTCGATCTCATGATCTTAGCACTCTGCTTCTATCCTTCCTCCTTATCTATAAAGTGAGGGATTGGGACTGAGTGACATTTAAGAAAGGTCATTTCAGATCATACAGCAGGAGTAAAGACTTCATGCTTTGAGGTCAGATCTGGTATGACCCAAGTCACTTTCTAAGAATATGATCTGGGCAAATCATTTTACCCTTCTCGGTTCATTTCCTGATTTACAAAACAGTGATAAATAGCCACCTCACAACACTATGTATTAAACAAGAGAATTACTTCTCATCTAGCACTATTCCTGGCACATTGTAATAGCTCATATCGGCAACCTCTTCTCTGTTATTACTATTTTGTCATTGTTGTTAAAGACCTGTTCTAAGTGATGGAGGTTGCACCAGGTCTGTGTGGAATATGGGGAAGAACGAGTTTAGATTCTGTCTGTTGGCAAACAGAGAACAGAAAGTTTTTTGTAGACCTGGCATTATGGGATTGAGGATTTAGGATTCTGAAAGATTCAAGCCTAACAGTTTGCTGAGCCTTTGTGCTGAGGGATGGCGTGTTGCTTCCTGTTCAGCTCTCAAGTTCACCATTGCAGCCACACCCCATGTCCTTCCCCAGAGCCTTCAGGCCTGGGGCAGTCTCCCTGGCTGTGACTCATTCGTGGGGGTGAGGTTAGGTCTGTCAAGGCCAGTAAGCCTTGTGTGTACTTGGTATTCAAGTGTTGTTTGCTTCTGTCCTCCTTGAGAAAAGTCTTAATTCTTGGCTCTGGCAGGACACAGTCTGCTGACAAACAGTAACTAGAAGTTGAATGGAAGAAGAGGAAGATGGTGTGGACTGGGGTCTGAACTCAGACCCTAAACCACAACCAAGTCATACTTTTAGCTTTCAGTGTTCTCAAAAACCTGGGAAATGGTTGCAATCAGTGCATTGTAGAAATGTGAAGACACTAATGGAGTTTTCCAGGGTCCATCCCTAGCTAATTCTCACTTGTCCCAGGAATTTCCTTAAAAAACTTAGGCTCAGGAGTGCCAGATAAAATGTAAGATGCCCAGTTGTGTTCAAATTTTAGCTAAACAAAGACTAATATCTTAGTATAAATATATCTCATGAAATGTTTAGGACATACTTATAACTCAAAAATTATTTATTTGCCCCAAATTCAAATTTAACTGGACAGCCTATATTTTTTCTCCTCTCTCTCTCTCTCTCTCTCTCTCTCTCTCTCTCTCTCTCTCTTTGTTCTGACAGCACTGGGGTTTGAACTAAGAGCCTCATGCTTGCTAGGCAGCTGATTCACCTCATGAGCCACAACCCCAGTCCGTTTTGTTTGTTTGTGTGTTTGTTTTTTTGGGATTTTTAAAGACCCTTCTCCTTATGTAGCCTGGACTGGTCTTGAACTGGCGAGCCTCCTGCCTCAGTATCTTGAATTACAAATGTGAGTCACCTCACTCAACTGCATGTTTTATTTTTATTTATTAAATCTAGAAAACCTACTGCTATTCAATATTGACTTGCATATCAATACTTAAACTTTCTCATAGCAGGAACGGCCATGAGTCTGACTGTCCCTGTTTGTCTTATTCACTATCTGTTCTTGGCTCCTAGCCCAGAGCCTGGGACAGAATGAGTACTCACTGCAGTGGATTGAGTGAGTGAATGAATAAGTGACAGCCCTTCTCCAGCACTTCCAGTGGCCAACCAATCCCTCTCAGAACATCATCCTAGGGACTGTCACATATAGTCTGCCTCTGCTCTCCTTACCTTCCTGGAGACCTGGGATCCAGCACACTAGACAAGAGAGAGAATCTCAGGGAAACTGATCCATCATTCTGACTTCACCAAAGGGGAAATTGAGACTAAAAAGGTTGCAACTACTCACAGTGTACTGAGTAGCCCTGGAAGCCAGTCATAGGACAAGCTCCTTCCTCTCCAGGGTCCTAAGTTATCACCCATTCTATCAGGGCTTGACTCACATTATGGCTTGAGTTTTGGGCTCATGTTTACCGTGGGACCTCACTGTACTACGAGAACTCTATAAGAAAAACCTCCTGTTACTGCTCTTGGCATCTTCACGACCTGACACAGAGTCAGGGCTCGATAAATATGAATGAATGAATCAATTGGTGAATCAGTAAATAAACCAAGAAGTCAATTAATGAATGAGTGGAGATGCTGTGCTACTTACCAGCAAGGAAGTTGTCTATAAGTGAGGAAGAAGATAGTTCTTTATGGCAGGACTGATATGACTTAAAGAGATAATATATGTAAATTGTCTGGCTCTGAGCCTAGTACATCGTAATTATTCAATAAATAGTAGTTTTCTTCATGGGGTACAATAGAGCTTGGCACTGTGAATGTTTGAAAACAGTAACTGGGGAACCAGGAATGACAAGCAGTGTTGCATTGCACCTTAAAATCTAAACTCTTGACCACAGCCTCCAAGGCACCTGATAGATCTGGCTCCTGCTCTCCTCACTAACTTCCTTGCCCTCCAATCTCCCTCTCTCTCTGTATGTTTCAGCTGCACTCATCTATCTTTCCTCAAGTCTGCTACTTCATTCCTACTGCCTGGCCTTTCCATTTTCTGCGCCCCCTACCTGGAATGCACTTCCCAAGCATGGCTCCTTTGATCCTTCAGCTCAGAGAGCTGAGTAACTAAAGAAGCTTCAGCCTGCCATACCTTCCATCACTTTCTATGGCATCACCCAGCTCATTTCCTTCAAAGTCGTTGTCACAAACTGCAGGGAGAATGTTTTCCTGTGTACTTGCTTTTTGTCTGTCTTCCCCCACCCTCTGTTTAATCGAGAAGTCCAACACAGGCAAGAAGTCTATCCCTCTTGTTCCCTGCTATAGCCCCAAGGTCATGAGCAGTGTCTAGAGTACAGAAGGCACTCTGAGAACGCTGACTAAATGATGATGGCTTTGGGCTCTCCTTCACTGGGTCTCTGATTCCTGGACTTTAAAAGAAATAGTTGGAGATGAGTAGCTTCTAAGTCCTCTTCCACTTCTGATCCTCTGAGGTTCTGTGACATATTGGTTTAGAATACTTGATTATGCTGAAAATACAGGGATGATAATGATTAAAGAGATGCCAGCAATTGGTAGCTGGAGTGCTTGCAAGGGAGTTCCAGGGAAGAACTCAGTGGGAAAGAGTGTTCTGGCAGATTTAGAAGCATCTTCCTCAGAGGCAGATGAGACCTAAGCATTTGTTTTTTCCCAACGGAGGTAAACATTGTAAAACTGAATGAATCTGACCATGCCTCACACCAACATGTGCCAAGAATTTACCAGTGTCCTTACAGAATGACACAGAAAACTCTTCCTCACTAATGCTTCTTTAGAGATTTTGCTTAATCCTCTGATGCTAGCTCAAGTAGAACATGATAGGCTTCTCTTAATTCCTTTACCCTTCACCTGGTTTGAAACAGCTTCACTGACAATAACCCTGTTGTCTCTTTACTGAATCCCACTCTAGAAGAAATCTAAAACATGCAGTGCATCACACTTGGAATTTCTGAATCATGGGAAAGATGATGAAGACTTAGTTCTAGAAAAGTTCTGTGAATTGGTCCTATGAAACACATTTATATTCTCAGAACAGCGTGCACTGTGTATGTTTGGGCTGGTTCATGTTCCAAGCAATATAGACAGGCAGGAAACTCACTGAGGTACCATAAAAACAGGAAAATGGATTATTTCAAATTTAAGATGACAATGAAGGTTCAGTTTTCTCATTTGGACCACATGGACTGCACAGCAGCCTATCCTGGCCTCCCAGGCCATTTGTGAGGTTGGGGTGTGGGTGTATACTCTTCTGCATTCCCACAGTTTAGCCAAACCTTTATTGTCCTGTATTTCTGTTACCAGTGGGTGGTTTCAGAAGACCCTGGTTGAGAAGATCTCAGGTCTTTGGCAACCCAAACAAAGACACACAGATTGCAAAGTAGCTGGAAAGTTTTATTGAGAATGAGAGAGAGAAAGTGAAAGCAGGAAAGTATATTCCCCAAGGAAGTGGGTGGGGGGAGAAGGCTCTGAGTGAGGTGGCTTAAAAGCAGCACCTGCAGTTCAAGAGCACCAGTGCCTTGGGTGGGATGGGTATTTATACACTCCAAGGGTTGAGCAAGGGGAGGAGATTTGGGTAGTACTTTGGAGTGATTTTGGTGATTGTTTCTGTGAATTCAGTGAGCTGTAATTAGGGGTCCTTGTATGCATGCCCCAGTTTGGATATAGATGAAAATCCTGTTTCAAAAGGGGCATTTTGTGGGTGGTTCTGGGTCGAGCTGGATCACTACCTATTCCCTGTGAGATGATCTTCAAGGAAGCTACCTATTCCCAATGACCTGGTTTGGATACTTTCCTCATTACTAGCCTGCCTCATTGCTGCATTAGTTTCTTTGTGTTGCTGTGACCAAATACCTGACAGAAACAAAGTAAGGAAGGATTTATTTTGGCTCATGGCTTCAGAGGGTTCAGTCCATGGTTACCTGTCTCCATGGTCCTGGTCCCTTGGTGAGGCAGAGCATCATGGCAGGCAGGGCCTTTTACTCTGTCTGGATTCCCAGACTAGGAGATGGTACTGCCCACGTTCATGGTAGGTCTTTCCCTCTTAATTAATTTTCACAGACATACACAGGAGCTTCTCCTGGGTGCTTCTCCAATCAAGTTGAGAATCAGGATTAACCATCACAATTACTATTAGTGATTTGTACCATGAGTGGCCTGAATCTTAGTCATTCTGCATCCCCACTGCTTGACATAGGCCTGACACAGAGTGGGGCTTCCAGTGAGATTTGTGGAATGGGGGTATCCACTAGACTGGATGTGTGGTGCGAGAATTGTTAGAAAAGATGAAAATAAGCTGAGTGTGCATACCTATAGTCCCAGCACTAGGGAGGCTGATGCAGGGGGATGGAAAGTTTGAGGCCAGCCTGGGCTACATAAGTGAGAACTTCTAAAAAAAAAAAAAAGAAAGGAAGAGAGAGAGAGAGAAAGGAAGAGAGGGAGGAAGAAAAGAAGGAAGAGAGGAAAAAAGGAAGGAAGGAAGGGAGAAAAGAAGCCAGGTGCCAGTGCTTGTGCCTGTAATCCTACCTACTAAGGAGGCAGAGATCAGGAGGATTGCAGTTTGAAGCCAGTTGGGCAAATAGTTCTCAAGACCTTATCTCAAAAAAAAAAAAAAAAAATCACAAAAAAGGGCTGGCGGAGTGGCTCAAGGTGTAAGCCCTGAGTTCAAACTGCAGTTCTGCAAAAAAAGAAAAAAGAAAAGAAAGATGAAAATAGCAAGTCCTTTTGTTCAATGACCTGGACCCCAGCCTAACCTTATCCAGGCTTCTATGAGAGGCAGCATAGCTGAGGACAGATTATAAAGTCACACACACACACACACACACACACACAGAGAGAGATATAGCTCTCGCCTATAATCACAGTTACTCTAGAGGTGGAGATCAGGACTAGCACAAAGAAAAAGTTATCGAGATTTCATCTCAACAAACAAGGATCCAAGACTGGGCCTGGGCAAAACAAGGCTGAGGCTCTATCTGAAAAATAGCCTAAAGCAAAAAGATCGGGAAACATGTCTCAAGTGGTAGAGCTCTTGCCTAACAAGCACAAGACCCTGAATTTTAACCCCAGTACTACCAAAAATAAAAACATAAAAACAAAGCCACACCTACAAGTAACATTAACCTTGAGCTACAGTTCCCATTCTGTAAGATAGGCTAATGGTACTTAGCTGAGACATTATTGGGAGGATTACAATGAAAAGAGGCAGGAAAGTGCCATGCCTGCTAGACCACGAGGTCTTACTCATGTCTCTATTTGGGGTTTCATTGACATGAGCTCATCAAAGCATTCTCCACACCTCCCTCTTCAGGCAAGCCCCCTTCCCATCCGCCCTCCCATCCCTGGGCCCCCGCGGCACTTTGCATCCATCTCCTCCATGGGCCTTACTAGGTTGTTCTGCGGGTCTGCTTCTGCTGCTGGATTTTGGAGTCTTCCATGGCAGAAATCACCTCTGTTGCCGTGCCCTGGTTGAAGGGAAGTAGATGGAAGTGTCTTCATTCCCTTGGCAGCTAGGGGTGCTGGGCAGTTTTAGTGTCCTTGCTCTTCATTCGCCTGCCCATGCTTGTCTCTGCTTCTTTCAGGATGAGCATTTTTGTGACTTTGTGGATGACCTCACAGAGTACCAGACCAAAAACATCTTGGCTTCCCCTATAATGAATGGGAAAGACGTGGTGGCCGTAATCATGGCTGTGAATAAAGTAGATGGGCCCCACTTTACTAAGGCAGACGAAGAGGTAAGTCTGCTTTAGAAACTGCTCATGTGGTACATCCTCCTGGCTCATGGAGCTCCCTGAAACTTGCTAGTTGTCCTGGCCTCAGTTTCCCCATCTGTAAGACAGGAGGTTCATCTGATGCTGTCTTAGGGAGGCAGGATGGGATATCCATCCAGACATTGGGTTTTAGAGTCAGGAATGGAGGCTTAATTGTTCTGGCTCTTCCATATCTAGCTATTTGACTTGGATAAAGCATTTGACCTCTCTGAACCTGTTTTCTTACCTTTTAAATGGGGATGATTCTACAGTATCTGCAGTACTTGTGGTGACTCTGTAACATACCTGAGTGACTTACCACAGTGACATCAGGTTCAATAAATACCACTTTATTTTTTTATTGATACACTCCCATTAGTACATACTCTACATTTTGAGAATTTCCACTCGTAATGCAACATTTTATGAGTATATGTTCTATGATCCATCTGCTCAAATTGCCTCTAGTGAAGCTTTTAAAATATTCAGACATTTGCTGATGATAGAAGTGGCTGGAGAAGGAATTTCTCCTTTTCATCTGCTTCCCCTCTGCTGTTTCATTTTTAGATTCTTCTCAAGTACCTCAATTTTGTAAATTTAATCATGAAGGTTTTCCACCTGAGTTACCTGCACAACTGTGAGACTCGACGTGGCCAGGTAAGTGGCTTGGTTGCAGGGATGGACTGGACATGTGTTTTTACTGAAGCATTGATGTGGTCAGGCAGGTGGTAAGGAAGGTGTCTGGGAACCATTGTGTAGTCTGGCTAGTATCCCCAGTATTATGGGGTAGTGGATGCTTGTAAGTGTTTGTAATGCTGGGCTCTGGATTTGCGCTCCTGATCAATAAATTGCTCTTACATCATGAGCAAGCCAGTCTCTCTAAGTTTTAGTCTCCCAGTTTGAAAAATGGTGATAATTGTGGTACCACCTCCAAAAGATTGCTATCAATAATAAATAATGAATAATGAAATAATGTTTGTAGAACACTGTGCTCAATAATGTTTGCTATTGTGTTTTTTATGGCTCTTGTTCAGGAGATCAAACCTAGGGCTTTGTGAATGCTAGGCAACCACTCTACCACTGAGCTACACACCCAGACCCTTGTTATCGTATATTTATTAACCACATATGAGATAAAAGAAATGGAAAGAGGTGGATCCAATGTAAATCAATTACTGTACTTCTTTGAGCCTCAGTTTCTCCACCTATAAAATAAGGATAATGATCTTATCTATTTCTGTGGATTATTGTGATTATTAAATGAAATAAACTCTAGAGAACTTTACAGAGCTGTAATTATTCTCTGAGTGAGTTACTGTTTTGTGCCTCAAGAACTCTGAATTTGTGTGTGGGGGGGAGGGGGACTAGGGTTTGAATTCAGGGCTTTGAGCTCTGAATATGTTTTTGTATTTCTTCAGATACTGCTATGGTCTGGGAGCAAAGTCTTTGAAGAGCTCACAGACATCGAGAGACAGTTCCACAAAGCCCTGTACACAGTCCGTGCCTTCCTCAACTGTGACAGATACTCTGTGGGTCTCTTAGACATGACCAAGCAGAAGGTGAGAAAACCTCAGCAGAGACATTTCCAAGAGAAGGTTAAACAGACATTGAAGGGAGTGCAGAATTTGGTCACACATTCAGTTGCAAAGGGAAGAGGCTGGGGAAATTTGGATAGTGGTTAAAAGTTTTACACAGGTCTTTAGCAAAGACAGGTGTCAGGAGAGTAGACACAACCTGTATATTCCTTAGTCATTTGGAAAAAATAGCAGAAGGGAAGAGAAAGCTATGAGGTGCTGAAGGTGGGTGATAAAGAAGTTTCTAGGAAGGTTCAAGGTCCACAAGAAAGTTGCCAACTTCAGAAGCTCTCAGGAAATGTACTGAAAGTTGGGCATAAACCCTACCTACAGTTGGTCTAGCCTAGGACTCAATTGAAGTGGAGACAGATGACTCATCTGGTCCTGCCAGATGCTCAGGGCCAGATTTATAGCCAATATGGCAACAAGATTTATAATAAATATGGCAGCTAAGCAGACAGTTCAATGTATCCCTGAGAAATATTTTTTAGTTTTGTTTTTCCAAGCCAACTCTCTCATGCCTCTTTCTTCACCTGTCTCTCCCTCCTGAAGTTAATGATTTTCTGCATTGGAAAAGAGATTCAGAGTTGTCTAGACTTATTGGTTCTTATTCCAGAGATCCAAGAGGTAGGATCTTGTCAGTTTCATGTCCTGAGCTCCTCATGCTGAGTGTGGTTCACAGACCAGTGAAGACCCTCCAAATGTTGGTCTGAGTGGATCACGGACTCTGGGGCTGGAAAAGACCTTAGTCAGTTCATTAGACTCTTCTGAGAAGCTGCCATTAAAAAGCTGGCTCACATTTTCTGACAGTCTGCTTTGTTTTTCTTAATGTTTTATTGATATCATTCATGTCAGTGCAGATGTATTACTTTTGGTAAGTCTTCATACTGAAGCATAGCACAGACACAGAAAGAAGCACTAATTGTTAGTGCTAATTATAGGTACCCAGTATTGTAGTTCAGTGAATTATCACAGAGTGAACATCCCCAGTAACCACCACCAAAACTCAGAAATAGAACGTTACAAACACCTCAGCAGTCTCTTTCATACACTCTCCAGAAACTCCTACAACCTCCTCCCAAAGGGCAACCACCATCGGACCATTAGCACCACGTCAGTTTTGCCTTCTTTAAGGTGCATAAAATGGACTCACACAACACACATTTATGTGTGGCTTTTTGTTCAAGAATTCGGTTGAAAGAGTCATCCTTATTGCTCTCTGTAGCATTAGCTCATTTTCATTCTTCCAGACTATCCCACAATGAATTTATTGATTTCTACAGTTAATGGATATTTACTTTTCAGATTTTAACTATGATGAATATTATGAGTATGACCATTCTAGTATATGTCTTTTGGTACATAGTGGTACCTATATTTTCTTTCTTTTTTTTGGCAAAACTAGGGTTTGAACTCAGGACTTTACACTTACTCTACATCTTGAATCATGCCCTTTAAAATTTTTTATTGAGACAGCCCACATAATGTATACACATGTAAGTAAATGTAAAAATGATGCAGGGGGGATTCATTGTGACAATTCCAAATGGGCTTATATTGTACATTGTTTAGATACCCCTGCCATCTCTCCCCCTTGATCCTCTCCCCACCCCACTTAAAGCAATTGCAAGAGATTTCTTATAAGTATTTCATATAAGTATTTGAAGTCCATCAACCACATGCCCTCACATTAATCTCCTTCATTCACCCACCCCCTACATGTACTAAACCTATTTTACAGCTCTGTCTTGGATTATTACTAATTTTAAAATGGTCTTTTATTATTATAAAAACAGCATAAATGTTGAAGACAGAAAATATAAATATAAGGGGAAAAAAGAGAAATACCATTATCTACCACATAGAGATTACCACTCTTAACACTATGGTGTATGTCCTTTCGTGTCTTTGGCAGTAAGTATATATTCATGTGTGAATTGGTACACAGGAAGGCTACTGATTTCTATATATTAATATATTTCTATATATTAATTTTGTATCCTGCTACTTTGCCAAGAGAGTTTATGATTTGTAAACTCTCCTGATGGAGGTCTTAGGGTCTTTTAGATATAGGACCAAGTCATCTGCAAATAGGGGGTAGTTTGACTTCTTCCTTCCCTATTTGAATCCCTTTTATTTCTTGTTCTTGTCTTGTTGCTCTGGCTAGGAATTCCAAAACTATATTGAATAGAAGTGGGGAAAGTGGGAATCCCTGTCTCATTCCTAACTTGCAGGTATGGTTTCAGTTGTTCTCTGTTTAGTATAATGTTGGCTATAGTTTTGTCATATATGGCTTTTACTATGTTGAGGAACATTCCTTCTGTTCCTAGATTCTTCAGAGCTTTTATCATGAAAGGGTGCTGAATTTTGTCAAAGGCTTTTTTCTGCATCTGTTGAGAGGATCATGTGATTTTTGTTCGTGCTTCTGTTTACGGGCTGCATTACATTTATAGATTTGTGTATGTTGAACCATCCCTGAAATGAAACTGACTTGGTCATGGTGTATGATCTTTTTGATGTGTTGTGGAATTCAGTTTGCTAGTCTTTGGTTGTGAATTTTTGCGTCTATATTCATTAAAGATACTGGTCTGTAATTCTCTTTTTTTGTTAACTCTATTGGGTTTTGGAATGAGTGTAATGCTGGCTTCATAGAATGCATTTGGTAGTGTTCCTTTCCTCTCTGTTTCCTAGAAAAGTTTGAGGAGTAGTGGTGTTAGTTCTTCTTTAAAGGTCTGCTTCTTGGACTCTTCTTTGTAGGGAGACTCTTTGCTACTGCTTCAATTTCATTGCTTATTACAGGTCTATTTAGGTGATTAATATCTCTGGTTCAATTTTGGTTTATTATATGAATCTAGAAATTTATCTAGTTCTTCTAGATTTTCCAGTTTTCTTGAATATAAATTTTCAAAGTATTCCCTAATGATCTTCTGGGTTTCATTAGTATTCATGGTTGTGTCCCCTTTGTCATCTTTGATTTTATTAATTTGGGTCTTTTCCCTCCTCCATCTTGTCATGTTGGTTAAGGGTTTGTTGATCTTATTAAATCTTTTCAAAGAACCAACTCTTTGTTTCATTAATTCTTTGTATAGTTATTTTTTTTTTTTTTGGTCTCTATCTCATTGATCTCGGCCCTGATCTTTATTATTTCTCTCTGTCTGCTAGTTTTGGGTTTGATGTGTTTTTGTTTTTCTAGAAGCTTAAGATGTATCATTGTTTATTTGAGATGTCTTTTTCTTTTTTTTATGTGGGCACTCATAGCTATAAACTTTGTCCTTAGGATGGCCTTTGCTGTATCCCACAGATTCTGGTTAAGTTATATTTTCATTTTTATTAGATTCTAGGAACTTTTTGATTTCTTCCCTTATTTCTTCAGTCACCCACTGGTCGTTCAGCAATGTGTTGTTCAGTCTCCACTTGTTTCAATATTTTCTTTTTTTTTTTTATTTCCTTTATTCACATGTGCATACAATGATTGGGTCATGACTCCCCCCTTACCCCCACCAATATTTTCTGATATTTCTTGTGTTGTTGAGTTTTGGTTTTATTCTGTAGTGCTCTGATATGGTACAGGGGGTTATTTCAATTTTCTTAAATTGCTGAGACTTGTTTTGGGTCCTGAAATATGCTGAAAAGTATGTGTGTTGCATTATCCCACTTCAGGGCTTCACTGTGTAGCCCAGGCTGGCCTGGAACTCATGATCCTCGTGCCTCAGCCTCCCAAGTACTGGGATTACATCACCATGTGCAACAGTCATAACTATTTGTGTTAGATATTTACTTAGAAGTAAATTTTTTGAGTAATAGCTTTAGTAGCTATTGCCTATTTGATTTTTAAAATGTACCACTTTGTACTCCCACCAGCAATGTATAAAAATTTCTTCACCAACACTTGGGATCATTATTCTTATTAGCCTCAGGCATTCTGCAAAGGGGTGTTACCTCTTTTGACATTAACATGACTGGTGGAGTTGAACTTTTCACATAGTTTTTGGCCATTTGGATATCTTGTTTTGTGAACTTACTGTTCAAATCTACCTCTCTCCTTTTTAATTGTATTGTCATTTTCATCTTACTGATTTGTGGGAGTTCTTTACACATTCTGGACACAAGTCTTCTGTTGATACATGCATTGCAGATAGATTCTCCCACTCTCTGTTTTCATGCTTTTAATAAAATAAGTGAAAATAAATTCTGAGTTATAATAGAGTGCAATTTAACTTTTCTGTATGGTTATTGATTCTTGTGCCCTATTTAAGAAATCTTTCCTGGCTCCAAGGTGATAAAGATATTTACCTATGTCAACTTTTAACAGTGTTATAGCTTTAACTTTTATGTGTAGCCATATAATCTATTTAAATTTTTTATATGTATTGTAAAGTAGGGCAAATACTAGTGTATCCATACAGATAGCCAATTGACAATGTACCTTTTATTGAAAAATCATTCTTTTCCCACTGTTCTTTTGAAAAGACAACTTTCCCTATTATACCTACATATCAATCAAGTGGAGTGGGTCAGTCTGGAGTCTCTGTTTTTTTCCATTGTATGTTTATCTATTCTTCTGCAATACCATATTCCCTTAATTTCAGTATGTTTAGAAAATATCTTGATATGCAGTGTGACAAGATTTCTAAGTTTGTTTTAGGTCAAAGACTTTCAGTATGTTTTACACTGTTGTACTCTTTTTTGCATTTTCCATCCTTTCATATTTTTGTACTTCAGTTTGAATATTTCTTCTCTATCTTCATTAATTACAAATCCTTTCTTCAACTATGTCTAATTGGCTATTAAACTATATACTGAACTCTCAATTTCACATTTTTATAATTTTTAAAAATATGTATATGTCAGGATCTCAGAGGTCCTTGACAAAAAAGGAATCGGGGAAGGAATGGACAGACAAGACACATACCGAGAGGGCCAGAAGGCTGATGACCAACTGGCAAATTTTATTTTTCTCAGCAAGCTTTACACAAAAGAGAGGA